TCTATTCGATTGGTACCAATCTGCTACTAATTTCTACGCATTTATTCGTTATTTATTTATTTTATTTTCACTATTATTTATTTATTCAATTAACTACTTGTTCGCTTACTTGCTTGTTTACTTACTTACTTAGCTATTAACTTCTAATACGCTGATCAGAGTTATTCTATTAAACAAAGTAACACGCAGTTAGCACATGCAAAATATACTGATAACATATATGTTAACTTTATAAATATACCATTCGCTTCCTCAGCTAATTTTGAATAGTTTGTTTTAATAGTTCCTTTTAATGTTGTGACATCTGTACGACGAGATTTGATATTAGTAATATAAATGTCTCTGATTTTCAAGCCCATTAACGATGATAAGAGTAACAGCAACGACGCTACAAGATTAATTGTCATTTTGATATGGTCATATATTATATTCCATGCAAGTCCAACTCAAGTATATCGAAAATAAATTGTTCTTTCGCAAATGGTCTGCTCATGCGATCTCCTACCTGTATATTGTGCTTAAAGTATTCCGTCCCTTTTCTTAATTCTGGTGATTCAACATTCAGCATTCAAACCCTTGTCAGTAGACAGATCGTACATTAGCTTTGGAAGTCATACTCTCTCACTTCTAGTAATACCCCAGATTACCACTGACTGTCTCCATTTGGTCCACTCTTGTGTTTTACTCTGAAGAAGATTTGTAAATAGCGGATCAATCGACGAGTTAGTCGTTAGTTGATTTATATTAAATCGCTCTGATAGTTCTTTGTTAAAATAGTCGCAAGTCACTTCTTCCATCCATGGCTGGATTTTGAATGGGGCTAAGTGCCCGTTACGCCTTCAAACCGAAAGATGCGACAGTGCACACTGCGAAATAGGATATGTGGACGGTTTCCTTTCGGTGGTCTGACAATCGTATTATACGTTGCACATTTCTCATCGAGGTTAATCCCTTAATCTGAGCCCGGTGATCTGGTGAAAGGCTTCATCGATGCGTGGAAAACGCCGACTGCGCTTCCCTCTGTACCAACACTTCGCAGGGTGGATTTGACTGGCGTAGACAATTGCGAATACTGGGTCAGTGGTCGGATTGCGCCGGTGAAGTGGTTGGCCGGCATAACGCCAGCTGAGTGACCATCTTCCACGCATAGCGGCTTCAAATTACACCTCTGTTCGTTGCAGGCCATTATCGGTGGCGGCGATAGTTTGTTTCCGTCGTTCGCTTCTCACCTGCTTCACACTAAATGCTTGCACTGGTCACACCTTGCTTGCCCCATGCTGACCAATTATTCGTGGCCGTCTAAAGGCTTTGACCACGGTTTCAAATTTCGCCCTTCCAACAGTTGCTGGACGGCTTTGCGTGTAATTAAGCCACGGTGCTAATTGGAGACCTGTTTGCACTTTCGCGCTGCCATGGAAGACTGAGTTGCTGAACGTCAGGTGTCGCAGATGAACGGGAAAGGCGTAATCACGCAGCACCCTCAATGGCGCAATTACACTCTAGAAGTTTTCATTTACGCATGTTACAGTAAACTATAGTAGAGAACAATTAATAAATAATTATGTACCTCCTTTGCATTATTTCGTTCTTCGTCATGGATATTTAGTTTATACCGCAAGATTAATGAAAAATTTATGCCGAGGGAAAATCAATCGTTAGAAAATAATTTTAAAAGTCGACCCTGCATTTCCTAATAAAAGCTTTATGCTAACGTTTTAATATTAATAATTTTTAAATTCGCTTTAACAATATTTTTTGATATTGCGTGCTGTTCTGACTGCATGAAAACTATGAAGCCATTCTTTTCCGTAATTGGCAAGTAGATTCAATTTTCGAGCAGTCATGATTAAGTAACGCAGATCATGGCCATAACCTGAAGTTGACACGTTACGACGGAAAATGCCAGCAATTTCAGCATAGAGTCTCAAAAATCATATTAACTGCGTTACTCACATAGCTTGCAGATGGAAAAGTTTTAGTCGATTTGACGCAAAGTTTACTCTCATCTCTGAACTTAGCCACTAAAATTTAACTTAGCCTTTCTTCGCCTTCATCTTCCATGATCTCTCCTCCTTTCGGGTCGCAGAGCCAAACGAGTCAGACAGTGCTTCCAACCTTCCTGATCCTGTGCCAGAGTCTCAGCCTCAGCAGAAGACAACCGGAGTCTCGAGCAGACTCCTTCCACATACCTGTAAGTTAATTTTCACCTTCTACTAGGTCTTCTGCCGGTCGGTTGTTCAAAAAATAGTTGCTCCTTCTTACTTTCTGTAGACATTCGCAAAACATGCTCAAAGTATCGCAGCTGTGACTTCTCAATCTGAGGAAACAAAGGCCGTACACTAAGGCTCTCTCGGATGTCTGCATTCCGAACCATTTCGAAACACGTAAAGCCAGTGACTCGTCTAAGAAAGCCCATTTCAGCAGCTTGTACCCGGGTTCGAAGTTTTTCAGTGATGGTC